ATTTAAATATTTTTTTTATCGTTTGGAGCGCACGAAAGGGAATCCCTATAATGTTCAGAGAACATCGTGCGTTCCTAGGGAGGATAGGGGCAGGAAGTAGGTATTGGATTTTTTTTCGAACTTTTGGAGATTATATGTTGTAATACTTCCACAGGCAATGAATTCCAGAGCCTAGCCGTTCTATGGATGAAGGAGTCTTGATGAAGTGCTGTTCGACATCTTTCGAGGTTGACAACGAAAGGATGTGCTGACTGGGCTTGTCTATTTCGTCTGATTGGTATTGCTAGTGAAGGTATGATAGCAGAGACCTCCGAAGAACATTTCCCGTGGAAGTATCGATAGAAAAGTGAAAGGTCGCCGACCTTTCTACGGTGTTCCAATAATGTCAAAGAGTGAGTGAGTGTGGCGTCACCCACCAGGCGAATGGCTCTTCTCTGGATGGAATCTAAGAGCATCAGCGTATGTTTTGGTGCTGAACCCCATATGTGGAAACAGTATTCGAGAACAGGCCGTATCTGCGCTTTGTAGATCATGAGATGCTGTTGAGGTGTAAAGTAGCTCTTCGCACGGAACAAGAATCCCAGTTTTTGTGGTATCACAAATTTGTAGAGCTTCATGATCCCATACAAAATTCTTGCTGTCAATATATTGCGGAGAAACTAAAAACGTCTGTTGGTCTGTCTGTTTTAACTCTGCTGGATACAATTCAACTGAATTTCTTCTTGATGTGTATCGATAACTAATCATCAGTTTCTCCACGATATTTATAAAATTGAAACGATGTTTTCAATTTGCTCCACGTGCAGATTAGATACCAGAAATTCAGGAATAACAACATCAATTTGTTTCTAATTTAACAGACTTTGCAGTAAGTCTACTAATTGTTTTCTCATGAATTCCTCAAAAAAGTGTTTGCATCTCACCTTGCAAAAAATACATAACCTGAATGAACGGCACTTTGCCTAATTTCTATGTTGTCAAATGAACTACATGAATAATAACGAATGGAGAGAGCCCAGCCAATTTTGACACACTGAATAATCTTCAAACATTCCCTATTGAAAGAAACTAAGCAAATCCCAAATATTTAGGATCTGTGTAAACTTCAGACACCTAAATAAATAATTTGAATTGCATCACATTTATTTGGTTTCAAATCCAAGATAAATATTGTATTTATAGTAAGCAATTGATTGAAATAATTATTTACAAATACTGTGTCTGTAGGTTAATCGAGAAGGTGGAACATTCATTTTACCAATTTTTTTGGGATATTCTCTGATAGGAAAGTTTTTGAACTCAGTGACAATTTGAGGCAAATCATCTGATTAGTCCTCATTACATGTAGGTATACCTAATAGAATAATATTCATTATATATTTGTATTTTTGGCAATGAGATAAGAATCCCAAAATATCTGGAGAAATAAGTGTTTACACAAGGTGATTCAGTAGCAACTACCATAAATTGAAGGGTTTGTAGTCAAAGGCTATACAGGGTGATCCACGGTGGATGGCCTATTAGAAGTAGGTATCTGGAGAACGAAAATACAGAACATTCTGAAAATTGGGATGCTTCGATTATCGAACATTTTCTATCCGTCTAAAATATTTTCATCGATACAGTGTTGCCACTTCTATCAGAAACAACTAGCAACTTCGTTATTTCAAATGGCGCACCCTGTATTTCATTGCATCTTTCGATTTTTCCTGAAGAGCTGATTTCATCAATGTATCACACTTGGGTTACAGAGATATAGGGTGTTCAGAATCGAGATTTTTCAATTTTAGGATTTTTTTGTGTCGGAACTATTCATTATCGATCGAGACGGCTTACATGTCCCTATCTTACCTTTCGATTCACCTTCTACTGACATTGAATTGGAACAGATACAGGGTGATCAGAATTCTGAATCTTGAAGCACCCTGTATTTTTTTCAAAATTAAATTACAGTAGATAGTGAATTAAGAGTTGAGATGGGGACATGTTAGTCGTTTCGATCGATAATGAATAGTTTCGACACAGAAAAAATATTAAAATTGAAAAATCTCTATTTTGAACACCCCATATCTCTGTAATCATTCCTGCTAGACCCCAAGTGTGATGCATTCATGGATGCATTGATGAAATCAGCTTTTCAGGAAGAATCTAAAAATGCGATAAAGTACAGGGTGTTCCTTTTGAAAAACCAAAGTTGCTAGTTCTTTCTGATAGAAGTGGCAACACTGTATCGATGAAAATATTTTAGACGGATAGAAAATATTTAATTATCAGAATATCCCGATTTTCAGAGTGTTCTGTCTCCTCGTTCTCCAGATACTTCTAATAGGCCATCCAACGTGGATCACCCTGTAGGTATGTTATGAAGAACGTTCAAATACATTTTTCGTTTTTTCTCTGAAAATGTCTTTTTACCGAAATATAGGGCGTTAAGTGTCCGCTGAGTGAAAAGTTTTCTCATTATATTTCTCCATTCAAATATTATAAATATGGACCGGAGTAGTCTTTTTTTCTATTTGGGCACCCATTTGTAACGAAAACAAAGATGTGGGTGTGGGAAAATTTTTGAAGAAATAATAATTTCTTGACCCTTGTTAGGAAATTTCTATCAAAATAGGTTGGCAACACTGAATTTCAGTAATGACTAATGAATTTGCTCCGAAGTGCGCAGCTGATGTTAGGTAAGACATGGTAAGATGTTCGTCACTTTCACTTCATCGCCTGAATAATCTGAGACTAAGGAGTCTCAAAAAACGGACTCTGATAATAAATAATTGAGGTACCCACGTAAAGAGAGGATTTTCTGTTTGATTGTTGGATATTTCGTTTATCAGAGTTGAAATCATTATGACCAAATAGGTATATAACCTGATGCGCGAGGCATCACATTGTAACGGTCTCAGGGGTTTGGTGGGTTCACTGATAGAAACGCTGATGGTTCAGGAGACTATTTATTTGCTTCAAGTTCACCAAAATCACGCGAAAAGTTGGAAACCTAAATATGAAATGCACTAATGAGCCAAGGACAGTGTATCACTCAATATAAACACTGATGCCATCATACAAATAGTAGAGAAAAGTAGATATGTGTATGTGACCTGGAAGGTCATGATAGTATAATAGTTATTTGTTTAACTATGCAGCAAAGTAGTAGATTGACTGCCGAGTTGAACATATAATTTTTTCTCCGATTGTTCATAATAATATAGGAGGATATTGTATTTGCAAATTATTACAATTCCCACAATCTCTTTATTTTTCCTGTAGTGTTCAATTAAAATAAAATTTGATAGAAATCGCAGTGTTTGGGTGCTGCACTCCAAATATGGGAACAGTATTCCAGGACCGGTCGGATCTGTGCCTTATAGATCATAAGCAGCTGACTGGAAGTGAAATAGCTCCTGGCCCGAAACAGAAAACCAAGTTTTTGGGATGCACTTTTAGCAATTGATCTCACGTGATTTTTTATAGAAAGGTTATTGCTGATAGTAATACCTAGCATCGAAATGGATGTCTTCAAAGGTATGGTTACTCCTGACAAGCTTATGTTGGACACAGTGAGATCGAATTTTCTAGCGAAAAGGCATGCTTGTGTATTGTTTGCATTGAAATCTACCAAGTTATTGGATCCCCATTCGAGAGTAGTTGCCAAGTCCATATTTATGTTGTCAACATTCCTCTCTCGTTCGTTTCTGATTTGCCTGGCTGGAATTGGAGCCATGGAAGAGATGGCGGTATGGAGAGTATACTATCATCCGCGAAGCTGTGTACTGGACATGAAGTTGCTTCCAACAAATCGTTGATATGGAGTAGAAATAGTGTTGGTGCTAGAATTGCTCCTTGTGGAACACCAGCATTTATGATGAGAGAGTCAGATGACACTCCGTCGACCACTACATGGAGAGACCTTTTTGAGAGAAAACTAGCTAGCAGAGAACATAGCTCTAGAGGCAAGTAATAAGATGGAAGCTTGGCGAGGAGTCCGTGGTGCCAGACTCGAGATATCAAGTGCTACGGCTAAGGTTTCACCATATTTTTCAATAGATTGCTGCCATATATGTGAGACGTCAAGAAGCAGGTCACCAGTTGATCTCTGATGACGAAAGCCATATTGCCTATCTTTGATAATACCTGAATGTTCCAGGTATTTCATGAGCTCGATGTTGATAGCTCTCTCCATGATCTTTGAAATAATAGATAGCAGTGCGATCGGTCTGTAGTTGCTAGGTAGGGTATTTTTGCCTTTTTTAGGAACTGGTTGTACTCTTGCATTCTTCCAGTTGGACGGGAATATCCGTAATTTGTTAGAGTAGTTGAACAACTTGCATAGAACAGGTGTTAGTTTGGGAGCACATTTCTTGAGAACAATCGGTGGGATTCCGTCGAATCGAATCGAATTTTCCGTCATTTTGAACGATTTTTACGGATATGTCTTGATATTACGAAAGTGTAAAAAATTTGTGAGTGATTTCTGGCTAAAAGAGAATCGACCACTCACCTCCACGTCAGCGTTTCACCATATTATTCAATATTATTCAATAGATTGCTGCCATATATGTGAGACGTGGACGAGCAGATCACCAGTTGATCTCTGATGACGGAAGTCATATTGCCTATCGTTGATAATACCTGAATATTCCAGGTATTTCATGAGCTCGATGATGATAGCTTTCTCAATGATCTTTGATATAATATATAGCAGTGCGATCGGTCTGTAGTTGCTAGGTAGGGTCTTTTTGCCTTTCTAGGAACTGGTTGAACTCTTGCAATTTTCAAGTTGGACGGGCATATTCCCAATTTGTAAGAGTAGTTGAACAACTTGCAGAGAACAGGTGTTAGTTCGGGAGCACATTTCTTGCGAACAATCGGTGGGATTCCGTCGAATCGAATCGAATTTTCCGTCATTTTGAACGATTTTTACGAAGGATATGTCTTGATATTTCAAAAGTGTGAGAAATTTGTTGGTAATTTCTGAAAATTTCTAAGAGAGAATCGACCACTCACCTCCACGTCAGCGTGGTGTACGGCCACTTGGACCCGTGCAGCGCGAACCGTTTCGTCCTGCGTGGCCTTTCGGCCTCCAGGTCCGGCAAGCCGCACCGGGGCGTGGCCAACAGCCTCTTGGTGGCCGCGTCCAGCCTGCCGGTCGCTGGTAGCCCCGCAAACCGCTGCATGGCTTCCAGGGACCGTCTGACGGACTCTTCCGTGCGCAGAGCGAACGCGCCGTCCTTGGACTTGTCCATGTAGCCGTACTCCATGAGGTACCTTTGCTGGAAATGAGAAGAAAACAATTCTTCATTCGGAGTATCACATTATTTCTAGTCAAAAATCTATTCATATTCTGTTACTATGTGTATGCGCCGATAGGTTTAAATTACCATTATTGAAAAGAAAATGTATCTCTTGCAATTTTCATCATTTTGGGTTCATGTGAACTGGTTATGTGATGGTTACCAGTCGCAGAAAGCCCAGCGAGATGAGAGAAAAACCTGAAGAAAGGTTCCCAATGCTAGAGACGCAACCAAACCGAGGTCTACGAGAAATCTTGGAATACGATCCCAGATTTCGAGAAAGGTACAAAAGACCAAAATACAAAATACCAACTACTCAGCGACGAAGAAGGCATAGAGAGACAATTGCAAGCTATCGAACAAGGCACCGCCTCAACAAGTCCCAGAGAAGACAAAAACAACACGAAGACTACACTTATTACAAGGGCCTTTACCTTACAAAAAAGGGCAGTCCGTATCATGGGAAATCTGAGAGCAAGAGATTCATGCAGGGAATATTTTAAAAAACTGGGTATCTTCACAATGATTTCCCTTCACATTTATGAAGTAACCTGTTTTGTATACAGGGTGTTTCATTGGGAAAGGTGAATAATTCAACTGTGGATAGGGGTCACTGGGGTGATTTCAAAAAACCCATGGTTGATGGGTCTTCGACTTCTTATAACCGAGATACAGGATGTTTCATCAATTTTGTCCATATCTTCATTGTCTCATAACTTTCCAACCAACCTGTATATATTTTCAAAAATTGGTACACTTGCTCAATCTACCCTGTGGAATTGATTGAGGCAACAACAAAAGATAAAATCCAGGTCCGGCTTCACTTAAAATTCACAAATTCTTTCTGCCAGAAAACAACACCCTATACATTCGAATTTCTCATTTTTTTTGCCATATCTGAAAAGAACATCAAAATTTCTATTCAACGATGTGCTTTCTATTCGTGCACAGACGATTTTAACTATTCATATTATGCTCGAAATATTATTTTTGCTCATTTTGGGGTACAAAATTGGAATCAGACGAGATTTATTAATTTTATTACTTCCTATCCAGTATACGTGAGTATTACATTTAGAAGGAGTATTTCATATCGTTCTTTGTTCCAGACTTAGTTGCAGGTCCGTCATCAAAACTATACAGGGCTTTTCACGATAAGCGTTTATTAGATGTTTCTGGCAAACCAGGCAAGGGATAAATCTAAAAATTCGGAGGTATGTATAAATTAACATGATCTACACATCTGAAATATTTGAAACGATCCGGCGTTGCCGCTTCTACTCGAAAGTAGCAGTAACTTTGATTTTTCAAATGGGACACCCTGGATGCTTCCTGAAGAGCTGATTTAATCGATTCACAAAGTTCGGGTCTAGTGGGACTAATAACTGAGATATTTAGAGTGAGAAGAATCGACATGTTTCAACTTTAGAATTATTTTGCGTAAATATTTATTATTGATCAAAACGGCTTTTATGTCCCTATCTCAACTTTGTTTCTATTGACATTCAATCGAAACAAATACAAGATGGTTCATAATTCAGATTTCTGCACCACGCTGTATCTGTTTCAATTGAATATCGAATGGAAAGTTGAGATAGGGACATTGAAGCCGTTTTGACCATGCAATAATAAATAGTTTCAACACAAATCATTTCTAAAGTTGAAACATCTCGATTTTCCACATCCTATATCTCAGTTATCAGTCCCGCTAGACCTTGAATGTTTGGAATCGATGAATTCTGCTGTTCAGCATGAATCCAAGAATGTAATGAAATACAGGGTGTCCCATTTGAAAAATCGAAGTTGCTGCTACTTTCTAGTAGAAGCGGCAAGGCTGGATCGTTTCAAATATTTCAGAAGTGTTGATTATGTTAATTTTATACATAGGTACCATCGAAATTTCAGATTTATCCGTTGCCTGGTTTGCTGAAAACGTCAAATTAACGCTCATCGTGAAAAGCCCTGTATAGTTTTGATGACGGACCTGCAACTAAGTCTGGAACAAAGAACGATATGAAATACTCCTTCTAAATGTAATACTCACGTATACTTAATAGGAAGTAATAAAATTAATAAATCTCGTCTGATTCCAATTTTGTACCCCAAAATGAGCAAAAATCATATTTTGAGCACATAATTTGAATAGTTAAAATCGTCTGTGCACGAATAAAAAGCACATCGTTGAATAGAGATTTTGATGTTCTTTTCAGATATGGCAAAAAAATGAGAAATTCGAATGTATAGGGTGTTGTTTTCTGGCAGAAAGAATTTGTGAATTTTAAGTGAAGCCGGACCTGGATTTTATCTTTTGTTGTTGCCTCAATAAATTCCACAGGGTAGATTGAGCAAGTGTACCAATTTTTGAAAATATAAACAGGTTGGTTGGAAAGTTATGAGACAATGAAGATATGGACAAAATTGATGAAACATCCTGTATCTCGGTTATAAGAAATCGAAGACCCATTAACTATGGGTTTTTTTAAATCACCCCAGTGACCCCTATCCACAGTCGAATTATTTACCTTTCCCAATGAAACACCCTGTATAATCATAAACGTTTTTTGAGACTGAAAAAGTCGAACATAATTACAATACAAGGAACAAAGATTATCTGTTGCCTCCTCAACACTCATCTGCTCGGTATCAGACAAGTTTATATTACAATGGATGTAAATTATACAATTGCCTGCCAAAATATATACAAGAATCAAAAAATAAATTCCAATTCAAGAATAAAACGAAAAACTTGCTCCTGAAAAATCTTATTACACCTTATTGGATGAATAATGTTTTCGAGTAGACGTTTATATACTTTCTATGTTTATGTACCTATACCTATACCTATTTTGTTTCCTTATTATCATGATATACCATATTTGAAAATACTTCCACTGCTTTTTGGCGCTTCTTCATAAGAAAATGTCAACATGATCTACATGGATAGTTCTATTTGATGGCATGAAAAACAAATATATAATAGAAAATCGAAAGTTGCATGGTGAATCTCTGAAAATGATGAAGATAGAATATTTCAGGCAACCTCAACTTCTTCGTCATGATTAATTACCTGCTTACACGAAATTTCGAATTTCTTCCTTTAATACCAAACAAGAAAATGAATGAAAACGAAATCAATGATTTTCAGTGTTTTCAAAATATTTTCAGGAACGGCTGGCTTCCGTTTGAACACTTTGAAGTGGCAATTATGGTCACTTCGAACCGACAAATGATAATTCGAAGTGGCAATTTCCAGTTGGCACTGGTCTCTTTGAACTATAGTCATTGTTACTACAAAACTGACCTAGTTAGAACATCAGCTAAAGGAGCTGTTCAGTTTTACTTCAGGTGCTACTGATGGGTCTTTGGATGTCTTTATAGAATGTCACTGCATTCACTGGGATGAGCGATCCATCCCCTCCTCGATTTTTTTCATTTCTTGTATCTCAGAAACTATTAAAATTAACCTTTTGTTTACAATTTTGATCTTCAAACGCTTTTTTACCGCCCCTGCTCATCCCCCTACGAGTCATAACTTTTCCCTTCACCACTGTACGAAAATTTGCCACTACACTAATCATGTCCCCTATTCGACCTTTTTCGGTGTTCGTTAATTGAACTATTCGTAATCCTTTACGCACAATCGACCTGAATTCAGGTTTTTATGTTTTTTCTATTACGTCATTAGAACCACAGTATATATTATCCTGTTAGTAGAACTAAGTAGATTAGACCCCAACCTCAAACAAATTTGTTGACGTAGTATACGCATGCTTTTTTTCTAGAAAAGCCGATCTCACTGTGCCCAACATAAGCTTGTCAGGACTAACCATACCTTTGAAGACATCCATTTCGATGCTTGGTATCACTATCAGCAGTAACCTTTCTTGGAAAAATCACGTGAGATGAATTGCTAAAAGTGCATCCCAAAAACTTGGTATTCTGTTTCGGGCCAGGAGCTATTTCACTTCCAGTCAGCTGTTTATTGTCTATAAGGCACAGATCCGACCTGTCCCGGAATAATGTTCCCATATTTGGAGTGCAGCACCCAAACATACCCTGAAACTGTTGGATTCTGTCAAAAAAGGGCAATTCGTCTCGTGGGTGATGCCTCGCTCACAAACTCACTCACTTCTCTAGAACAACGTAGAAAAGTTGGCGACCTGGCTCTATTTTATAAAATGAATATCAACAATTGTTCCTCCCTTGGCAGTCCCCGCGAGATCAACCCGTCGAGTTGAGGCTTCGCACCACTTCGTGGTCACTTTGGAGACCTACAGAACATCTCTTTCCAAAGACTCGTTCATCCAACGAACAGCGAGGCTCTGGAACACATTGCCAAGGGAGGTGTTCCTCGAGGCATATAACCTCCAGAAATTTAAGAAGAACACCAATTTCTACCTTATTTCCCTTGGTTCTCACGATGTTCTTTGAACATTACAGGATATCCCTTCTCGTGGGAACCAGAACATAAGAAAAACATGGTTCATGAGCGAGTATACTTTCTCGAAGATTCACATTTTTTTGATATTGTTTATAATGCAAATGCTGTGTTAAATGAATCAAATAATTCTAAAAATTCACAGATGAAATGGAAATAAATAATTTGATCTATAGGTACCTAATATACTGTTCTCTATTCACAGTCATTATACAGGGTGTTTCATAATTGAATGCTGATCCTAAAGGGCGATAATCCTTGGATGATTTTAAGAAAAATTCTTCATGTGAACTTAGGTCCGTAACAGCTTCGTTTCTGAGATACAGGATGTTGAAATTCAACAAAAAAATCAGTTATTCCCCAATATCTCTGAAACCGCTCTGGCTTTTTTCTTCAATTTTGGTAAATGCCAAGTATGCATAGAAATACATTATTTCCATAATAAAGGATTTCTTTATTTCCATCAGTGGCGTCCCTGTTAACATACCCTGTCATATTTTTCATCAAAATAATGATACGTCACTGTCTTTTTTCCAAATGA